GGTTAGAGTGGGAGAGAGCCAAAGCATAAGAGACTGTTGAGAACTGAGAACAAACTAAGGGTTGATGGGGGGTGGGAGGGAGGAGAGGGTGGGTGATGGGTACTGAGGAGGGCACCTTTTTGGATGAGCCCTGGGTGTTGTATGCAAACCAATCTGACAATAAATTTCATATATTGAAAAAAATAAATAAATAAAATAAAATTGGTATGACTGATCATGCTTTCAGACTGCAAGCAAACATCTTTCTTTTGTCCGCCAAATTATACGGTTTTCTGAAAATCAAGACACATGTCATATTCTATTCCTCGTGTGGCTAGCAACCTCCTCTGTGAACCTCCTATGGGTTCACATGTTTGCTGTTTTGTGCAAAGGGCTACGCTTATAAAAATAAAATCAAAAAAATAAAGGGCAGGGTGACCAGGTGGCGCAGTCAGTTAAGCGTCCGACTCTTGCTTTCAGCTCAGGTCATGATCTCACAGTTGTGAATGAGCCCTGAGATGGGCTCTGCACTGGGGGGGGGCGGAGCCTGCTTAGGATTCTCTCTCTCCTTCTCCTTCTGCCCCTCCCCAACTCGTGCTCTCGCTCCCTCTAAATAAATAAATAAGTAAATAAGTAAATAAGTAAATAAAGGCTACGTTTCTGATTTTCACAAATAAACGCAATGTTCATACCACCCAAGTTGTATCATCTTCGGTGAATTCAATTTCATAAATAAAGCATTTTGCCGGAATGGGCCCTTGAGGCATGCTCCATTTCAGGTTAACTTCCTCTGAGTTCTTCACAGTGAGACTAAGGTAGTCTGGTGGCAAAGGTTTAACTGAAAAGCAAAAGGAAACCGTTTCAACATGGAGGTTACTAAGTTGAGCGGTCGCTCTTATCAAAAGCTAGGGACACCTAGTGACGGAAGCCTCTAAGATAAATCAAGTGGCTCAAGACCAATCTCTATAATGTGAATTCATATCAAACCTGCTTGCCAACCAAGACCAATTTATTGAGAAACGTGGCTATTTTGGAAACTAATTTTTTGATAAGTCGCATATTGGCAAATATTAAAGTCCAAGGGAAAAGTTAGACGATCCAAAGCATTACAGTCATTTTTTTCCATTTGGTAGCATTAGAAACAACTACCACAACCATTACTGCTACTGTTTTCATTAATAGCTAACTCTTATTTAGAGCGTATGGTGTGTCAGGCGCTGAACCAGGGGTAAACTCACTCATGTCTCACAATAAACCTATGAAGTGTCCTCTATTAACCTCATTTTACCAATAAAGAGATTGAAACAGATGCTAAAAGTAACTTGCCCAAAGTCATACAGCTAGAAAGTGGTAAATCCAAGATTCATAGCCAGGTATGACTAACTCTAGAACCTGTCATTCTCGTAACTGTCAGAACTAGGAATTCAGACTCAGAATATACAACTATTCGCCTACTGACGTGTGAAATCCTCCATCATTAACACTAGACAAAAATACTGTACAGGAGACCGACTTTTGGAAGCCGGGGAATACACTAAATTTGAAATAAAAAGTCTAAAAAAATGATTCTTCATTCAATTCCTTACCCCTGTACTTCTATATTTCATAAGAGGTTCTTCATAGGCTCGATTGGCCTTTTTCTGGCTTTGCATTTCCATAAGTTTCCCTATATCTCTGTCTCCATCTTTTCTCTGCCGTGTGGTTGTAAATGGACCAAGCTAGAAACATTTTAAAGTTGTTTAACTCACCTATATTTTGAAGCTGAAAAATAAAATAGCTGGGTCTGATAGGATGAGAGTCTGATGATCCATTAACACAGATGTAGAAATCTTTATAGTCTGATGCCTCCAAATAGGGAAACCTGCATCCAATATTTTGTCCATCAACCTTGATGTAATCGGGACACTGTGTGGCACGGTCCAAGCCGTCATACCTGTAAAAAAAGTATTGTTGAGAACTGTGTTTTCCAGTATCTTACAGTATTGTGGTATTCAATTTTCAATTATCTTAAGATACCAAGTGAATAAAAAAGTCATGTAATGACATGCCACATTGATCGAGCACCAACTCTATGACAAATCCTATGTCATACGCGAGGGATACAATAGTAAGGAAAGCAGGCATAGTCCATAATTTCGCAGAGATTACAATCTGGTGGGGGTTTTAACAAAATCTCAAAGATAAGGCAAGGATTCTTACTCATGCGCTTAGGTTATGTTGACTTGCCCACGGGATTTGTGAATCAAAGAGTAAGATTTCTATTTTAAAAACCTGGAGTTTACATACATAATCCTGGACGACACTGCCTTTTTTCTATTGTACCGGAGAACTTATATTAGAAGAAAGCAGATTTAAAAGCAGACTTACAAAATACTGTTATATTTAATAAAATGAATGAAATTCCTTTGAGGAGACAATGCACATCAAGAGATAAACCTCAGCAAAGTCAACAGAGGGGTCAACATGAAAAAGAAGAGGGGCGCCTGGGTGGCTCAGTCGGTTAAGCATCCGACTTCAGTTCAGGTCATGATCTCATGGTTCCTGAGTTTGAGCCCCGCGTCAGGCTCTGCCCTCAAAGCGCAGAGCCTGGAGCCTGCTTCACATTCTGTGTGTGTCTCTCTCTCTGCCCCTCCTCTACTTAAGCCTTCTCTCAAAAACAAATAAATAAATATGTTTACAAATGTTTTTAATCACAAAAAGAGAAAGAAGAGCTGTCTGGCAAATAAATATCTAATTTCCCATCCTCTCAGCCAAGAAATGTTGCCATATCGTTGAAAGTTAACCTCTTTCCAGTAATAAGGCTAACAGGAATTAGGGGGGATTTCCCTACTGATTTTCAAAGCAACAAATGCCTGGTTTATTTTCCTAAAGAACAGCTTGCAATGCAAAATGTGACATCTGTAAAAGCAGTCAAAATTCCTTTTGAAATTAAGTCAATCTAGCAGTTGGTAAGGTGCTGATTTCAAATATCCAGACTCTACTGAATTCACTTTATGCCAAGTATTTAGTTTGTTGCCGTTGTTTGTTTGTTACCCCAAGTTGTTACTTATTTTCATGGTGGGGGAGAACGTTTTATGATAGTGAAAATACACTTTACTTTTTAATACAATAGCTGATAGCGATATACTGGCTGTAGAGAAAGAAAAGAAAATATGAGCATTCTATAATAAGCTGAAACTTGCCTTTTCAAGTAGCCAAGTATTTACTTTGGACAAAACTAACTACTTGATTAGTTCACCTGATTAGAGTTTGGGAGACTTGAGTTCTAGGCTTGACTTGACCCAGGTTTATGTTGTGCCAGTGGGAAGGAAGCCTGCTGGTACCCTTATTTTCCAGCTTCTAAGATGTCAGTATTTCTCTCTCACTAGTAAAATGAGGATAATGCGGAAGAGGGCAGGGACTTTGCTTATTCGCACTTTCAGCCTTTTTATCTAGAACAATGCTGGCATTTAACAACTTCTTTATATTTGTTGAATTAATGAAAAAACAATTTAGACCATAGAAATTGACCCCTCTGATTCCAGGTGAAAAAACTGAGACCCCCAAAAAAGGAAGACTGCTTGCCCAAGACCACTAAGTTAAATGATGCCAGAGCAGGGATTAGAACCCAGTTCTCAGGATGCTTAATAGCTTATACCTATCACTTACATATTATCATTTTTCTAAAGAAAAAAGCCAATATAATCTGGGCCTGAAACTCACAAAGAGTTACACTTTGTCCTCTCTTGCTTTTTACTGTTATTTAATAAATGCATAAATTCCAATACATACTTATCAGTGTACGAATACTCTCATCATTTGTTTCATTCATTTAATGAATATTTTGTGATAATCTACTATGGGCCATAGCACAGCAGAGATAGTTAAGAGAAATGTAAGAAACAGTTCCTGCCCACCAATCTCTTAAAAATTTAAGGGAGCAGGGGCGCCTGGATGGCCCTGTCGGTAAAGCACCGGACTTCAGCTCAGGTCACGGTCTCATGGTTTGTGAGATCAAGCCCTGCATCAGGCTCTGTGCTGACATCTCAGAGCCTGGAGCCTGCTTCCAATTCTGTGTCCCTCTCTCACTCACCCTTCCCCTGCTCGTGCTCTCTCTCTCTCTCTCTCTCTCTCAAAAATAAATAAAACATTAAAAAAGTATTTTTTAATTTAAGGGAGGAGACAAAGCACACAATACGTGCCAAAAATTTAAATGCCATCCAGACAAGTAATTGAGAGCTATAATGTGTAATAGTTCAGAGAAAAACTGAACAGAAGTTGATATGATCAATAAAGGGTTGATGAAATTGAATACCAGATGGGCTTTGAAAGACAGATAAGAGTTGGTGAGAAAGCCAGAGGACATTCCAGATAGCAATGCACACAGCGGCATAAAAGATCATAACACGGGTGAGAAAAAAAATGCAGAGATGGGTCTAAATGGGGTGGAACATTCACACTGGTGACAGGAAAAGGTCATGTTGGGAAAGCAGTGATACAGAGAGGCAGAAACTTGAACGCCACCTTAGATTTTTATCCGGGAGGTAGTGAGTAGCCACTCAAAGTTTTGGAGCAAAAGGGTGGCATATGAAAATACGAAGATAGGAAGATAAATCTGGCTACAGCGTGCAGAACGAATAGGACAGGAAGAGATGTGCGACCTTGAAAAGGAGTGTCAGAACGCAGGGTTCAATGTTACCGTGAAACAATGAAGCAATGGAGGAGATGGGAGATTCAAGACGGCTGTGAGTTTCCAAGCCTCAGTGGTCATTAAAAAAGAGAAGTCATGGGGCGCCTGGGTGGCTCAGTCGGTTGAGCGTCCGACT